CAAGAGGATGCTTATCTCCCCAATTTTGTTTTGCAGGACAGTTACCTTGGCGATGAGTTTAAGTCACAGATTGATGTGGCACTGTCGCAAGACTCCACGTACCAAGGGGAGCGGGCATACCAGCACGGCGGAGTGACAGGGCTGTCCCAGTACTAGAAGGCAAGCTGACCCCTGCAGGAGGTCTTTATCGGGATCTGGACATGATGGGAAATCAGGGAAACGTGTGGTAGGGGTCTCAGGTCCCCAGGAGGCCAGCTTGTCCTGTGCGGGTCATTTTGGCCACCTGTGCATCTGCTTGTAGTGGCCGGGGAATAGGGACTTCATCCCAGCTCCCTGCATGGTGGTCCTTTCCTGAGTCCTGGAACTCTGTGAGGAAGGGGTGGATGTGGGAGTCCTGGCCGCAGCCACATGGGGCACCTCTGCACGAGGGGCTTCAGGGTGCCATTAAGACCCTGACATAGGGTTCCCCTGAATGTGGTGTGACCAGAGCTGGGTAAACCCGGGCCTGGGTCCTCTACCCATGTGTGTGCCGGGTGAGCGGGGTGTGGTTGGCTTCCTTCTCTTTGGGTGGGGAGTCACTAGTCTGGGCGTCCAGCCAGCCTCTGAGGTCCCGTTTCACAGGCACACAGTGGAGTGGGGGGAGGAGCCCTGCACCTGCAGGGGCCCCCCCACCCTGAGATGCTCTGATGGCCCCTTGCCCTCCTCCCTCCCTGCAGGTGGCAGCGGAAGAGCTAAGCTATGTGGCTTAGTCCATCAGCATCTTATTCTGGGTAATAAAAAATAAAAATAAATGGATACCTGTTTTCCACTGCTAAAACTGAAGCACCACTGTGAGCAACAGGAGAGGGAGAGGAGCACCCGAGGGAGAGAGGAGCCCGAGACCGAGCGAGCGCCCACTGCTGGCCCGCGGCGGCGAGGAGAAGGAGAAGGGAGAACGGGAGGCAGGCGGCCGCGGAGGACCGCCCGCCAGCGAGCCCTGCCAGCCCCGCTCGCCAAGGAGGCCCAGCGCTCGCCGCGTCCACACCTGGGTCTGCGACCAGGGCGGAGGGAGGAAGACCCTCATCTCAGAGTAGCCCTTTCCTCTGTTCTTTTCTTTCTGTTTCTCTTTTATTGAAAGGGGACTACGTTTTAGCAGGAAAAACTTCGCATTTCTGTGCCGAGCAGGCTCCTTGCCGGGGCGGCCGTGCCGGGAGATCCCCGCGGAGGTGTGGGTTCTGTCCCCGCCAGCTCTGAAACCGCCCTGGTCACGCTGCCTGTGTTCTAAGAGGGTTTCATTTAAAGAAAACACGGTGTTTTGGGTTTTTCTGTTTGTTTTTTAAAGATTCTTTCAAAGGAGTACTGAAAAATATACTTTCCTGAGTTTGTCTCTCAAATCTTAGTGGTGGACCTGGGAGATGCGAGAAGCTTCCAGAAACGAAGTTTAAACAAGGCAACACATCTCAAGATTAGGATCAACACCTGTGACGGGATCGAGAGGAGAATTTTTGTTTTCAGATTTAGCTTCCAGCGGCTTCTCCCTGCATGTCAGGGCGGTGAGAGAGCAGTCTCGTCCTGGGCCAGGCAGCCCCAGTCTCCGCTGGACTCTGAGAAGCAACGTGCTTCCCACGCGCCGCGGACTCGTGCCCCACCCACCCTGGGCCGGGCCTTGGGCAGGACTGGCCAGGAGGCCAGAGGGTGGGGAGGTGGCCGTTCCCTGACCGGTGGCTTCTTCCCCGGGGGTCCTTCCTGAGGATTTGGTGGAAGACAGCAGCCAAGAGGACCCGTCCCCCGGGAGGCACCCACAGTCCCTGTGACTGGTCGGACATGCCGAGCGCCCCACCTACCTTGTTCTCTACCCCACCCTCCAAGTTGGGAGACCTACCTGTGGGTACAGCTGTGATGGGGTGGGGTGATTTCTGCTTTTTTTTGGAAAAGGAATAACTTTCAGAAAAAAGTTGGTTCTATGCTGAAGGGGCTTGGAGCAGTTTGTCACCTCAGCTGTTAGAGGGGGCCTCTGTGGGGTCTGGGCCAGGACTCAAGGAGCTGCTGATGCTGGGAGAGCCACCCCCAGCTCCTTGCACCCCATGGTGGGATAGTAGTCTCCCTGACAACCACCTCTTTGGGGACCATCCCCTGCCTACCTAGGCCCTGGTGACCCTACACCGCCCCCCCCCTTCCAGCTTCCCCATCCCTGTGAGGCCAACACTGGCCCTTATCGAAGCCTCCAGATTCCAGCTTGTACTTGGGAGACGGGGACACACAGGCCACTTTCCTTCTGGCAAGGCCTCTTATTTATTACCATTGCTGTAGGGCTTTCGGTTTCCCCCTTCTTTTGATAGGCCACATAGAGGCATAGAGTTTGGATAGGTTTCCGCTATGACCCCTTGTGCGACACACCCCGTGGGCGACACCTGCGCCCGCCCACCTGCCCTGTTCTGTCCTTGGCATGCTTTGCCTCTGCTTTGTGCTGTTTGCTTTGTTCTCCACCTTCATAGCAGCAGTTCCGTTTTCCAGATTGAGGAGCATCTGTACCAAGGCAATGTAACTTTTGATTTCTGGTCGATTTGTTTTAAGCTCTATTGTCACCAATAAAATCTTAATAAACGACTTTTGTGTTCACACCGGGGCAGATGAACTGCAGGGAGATAGCAGAGCACTTAGCCTGGGGACCTGGCTGGTTGGGAGCCTGGACGGCAAAGCTGAGAATGACTACATCTGTGTGGCAGGGCCCTTGGGGGGGGGGGGGACCTTGGCCCCTGCAACTGGCAGCACGTGGGCTCTTGGGCGGGTTAGTTGATGGGCTACCTGGGGATGGGGATCTGGGACCCCAGCCCTGGCAGAGCTGGGCAGGTGGGGTCAGTGTGGGTCACTGTCCCACCACCCTGGCGATGGGTGATGGTGGAGGTGGCTGCTTCCTCTCCCACCCCCACGTGACCAGACGAGACGGGGAGCGGACCACGCAGTATTTATTATTTGGGCCCCCCTCTGGCTCCGTCAGCGGCAGCCACACTCGTCCACCACCATGTCCTCGTAGTGCCGCAGTACCACGTTGTCGCTGTTGTCGAAGAAGAGCACGGAGATGGGCGACAGGCGGGCAGGCACGCAGCAGGGCAGGCCGCCGGCGCCGGGGGCAGCCGCGTGCATGAGTGCGCGCAGCACGGCGTGGTTGAGCGGGGGTGACCCGCCGGGGCCCGACAGCGTGGCGGGCAGTGCGCACTGGCCCTGGCAGTAGTTGGCCAGGAAGCCGCGCGGCGCAATGACCCAGCGGTGCCAGCCCACCTCGCGGAAGCTCACGTAGAGCCGCCTCGTGCGACATGCGCCCCCGGGGCTGCCGCCCACTGCGGGCTCAGCTTCGCGCCGCGGCCGGGCCAGTGGGTGGCACAGGCGCGGGTCGAGGGTCACCAGCAGCAGCGAGGCCTCGGCCAGGTGCGCGCAGGCGGCGGGGGCCCGGGGACGCAGCGCCAGTGCCAGGCGAACGCTGCGCGGCGCCGACGTGTTGCGGGGCCAGGCGGCCCCCAGCAGCTCGGCGCGCACCGGCGTTCCCAGGGTGTGCACCGCCTGACTGAGCAGCACCCGCCCGGCGCCCGCGCCCTGGCCTTCGGCCGCCTGCCTTATGCTCAGCTCCCAGCCGGCCGGCGCCTCAACCGCCGCAAAGCGCAACTCCAGGCGGGCTCGGCTCGGGCGCTCTGAAGGTTCCACCGCGGACAGATCGAAGACGACGGTCCATTCAGGGCACTGCCCCGCGGCCCAGGCGGGCTCCGGGAGCCGAGTGGGCGCACCTGGGGAGGCAGGGAGAGGGCTGGGCTCGCGCTGAGCCCCCGCGCCCTGCCTGGCCTGCCTGCGAGGGGGTTTCTGCTGCGGACCGGGAAAGGTGAGTCCCCGGGGCTGGGGGCGCCAACTGTTAGAAGGCGTGAAATGGTGTGAAGTGGCCGCGGGAGGCGGGGGCGGGGAGTGGGGGGCAGGGCATCAATTGCAAGTAAGAGGAGGCCCGGCCCGGGTGCAGGGCGGCCTGCCCGCGGGACCCAGGCAGGGCGAGAGATGAACGGATGCCTGGGGCCCCTGGGGAAGCGATGCTGGAGAGGTGGTATTTGCAGGAAAGGCATCAAATGGTGTGAAACAGCGGGGGCGGGGGGAGGAGGGGAGAGTGGGGGCAGGGCTTCAGCTGAAAGCTAGGAGCCTTGCCCAGTGCAAGGGAGCCTGGCCTTGGGACCATTCCAACCGGTCCCCGCAGATGCCCACGGGGAAGAGGCCATGGAGTGCGGGCGGGTCCAGGTTTCTCATGGGCTGGACAGGGCGGGTGCGGACATTCGGAGGTGCTCTGGCTTCCCCCACGCGGCGCTGGAGGTTCGTGGCGGGGCGCACAGCGGGGTCTCAGCCTCCCCGGCACACGCACCCCAGCAAGGGCCCTACTCACCGCGGTCCGGGATGTGGCGCACGATGTTTCCGGCGACCCCCAGCTCCTCCACGTGGCACGGTCTCAGGGTGGTCTCCTGGGGCATCCGCCGCGGGCCCACCCTGGCCTCCTGGGGGTCCCGGTGGCGGAAGAGGCGCCACATGACGGGGGGTACGGGCCGAGGCGTGGGGGCGCCCCGATGCACGTCGGGCAGCCCGAGAGCCTGGAGCAGGGCGGTGGCGGGGCCCGGGGGCGCTGGGGCGCGGGTTGGGGTCAGTGAGGGCAGCAGCACGGTCAGGAGGAGGAAAAGGACGCAGTGGCCAGGACGGTAGCGCGGCGGTGACATTTTCCTCGCTGGCGGCAGACGCACGAGTGCTCAGGAGCCGCCGGGCACCCTCGACTTGCAGACTGGGGGCGGGGCCGAGATCCCCGGAGGGGCCGGACGGAGGTCTGGGACTGGGCAGGGTCAGGGTCCCGAGGGAAGTGGCCGCGGTCCTGAAGCCGGACGGGGGTAGACCCCGGGGGCGGGGTCTCGGGGGGTGCGGGGCAGGGGTCCAGAGGGAGGTGACCCGGAGTGGCCAGGGCCCAGGTGGGGCGGAGCTGGCCCGAGCCAGAGTCCCGGGGAGGGGCGTGGTCGGTCCCTGCGGAGCGTGGTCGGGCGGGGCTGGGTCCTAAGGGGAGGGACGGTGATCAAGGAATTCAGAAGCGCTTGTCTTTCACCAGGCCGTTCCTCAGCGGCTTCCTGGGGCGGAGGGGGCAGAACCGGGCCCAGGTTAGCCCCGGGACCCCATGCCCCGCATACTGCCCTGTCTCGCCAGCATCGCCCTCCATATCCCTTCTTCCGGCCAGGCTGCAGCCCACCGGGGTCCCTCCTCCCTGCCCACATGGCCCCTTCCGCCTAGTGGCCAGGGCGTCCCAGATCCTCCCAATTAAACCCTCCTCTCTCCTCCCTCCTGAGCTACCCACGACCGCTGGACGGCTTTTGCCCCAATTTAACTCCACCACTTGTATAAACCCTACACTTTATACTCCTCCCCTTCCAGAGAGTGGGCAAAATTGGCCAGAGCTCCCTGACACTCCACCCAGAGTAGGACAAAAGAAAGTCTTCACAGCCCCTATGATTCTCCATCCACTGGCCTCTGTCTACATCTGCCACAGCCCCTACTTTCCTTCCACGTTCTGAAAACAGATTATGCAGCGTTTTAAAACTCAATCAATATGGTAAGTGTCCACCAGAGAAAGGGCCCTAATTTCTAAATCACATATGGCTTGCATATTTCAAACCAGAAAGATGTCTTCTGGGGGTGCCTGGGTAGCCCAGTGGGTTAAGCGTCTGCCTTCCGCGCCGGTCATGATCTGAGGGTCCTGGGATCTAGCCCCACGTCGGGCTCCCTGCTCAGCAGGGAGTCTGCTTCTCCCTCCCCCATCCCTCTCAAATAAAATCTTAAAAAAAAAAAAAAAAAAAAGTCTTCTGCACCCCAATGTTCCAAAAAGTCGACACTGAGATTGCTGCTGTGCATACCACTGTTCTCCATCAAATCCATTTTCCCTACCTGAATTAGTGGCAGGTCTGGGTTCCGACTCGGGGTCTGCCCAGGACCACCTTACCAGATTCAACAAGGGTTTCCGCCCCTGCTCCTTGGTGCCTTTGTCAGCATCTGCTGCTGCTGAAACAGCATCTTGCTGCCGCTTACTGGTCATGGCACTGGCTACTGCTGTTCCCACTTCGGGGAGCCCCTCATGCCTTTGCACATTGGTCTGTGTCTTTGCAGAAGTGGGTTCTACGGTCCGGTTTACAACGTACACATGTATTAAGTTTTTTGAGCTGGTACTATATTCTAACGATCTAGACATCAGAAAGCACAGAGAACTCACAGTTTGCCTGGACCGCTTCTGGAAATCAACTGGGTTTCCTGGCTCTGTGTAGCATTTCACACACATCTTGCTGGTATCTCACACCGATCCTAACACACCGGGTTGTTACTGTCCCCTGCATCCCCTCGTCTTGAGGAGCACTCTAACTCAGAGACCCTTCCGTATAGGAACCTAGATGACCTCAGTCACTTTAATTCATTCTTCCCTTGGTCTGGAGCCACTGGGTGTCCCTTCCTGGGAGCACACGTCCCATCCTCTGCCCACTTTCCCAGGGCCTTGCTGCCCTTTCTCTTGCTGCTGCCACTGGCAGGAGCCGTTGATCTGTGAGGTTAGAGATAAGCCCCTAGAGATAAGCCCTCAGGTCTGTCCTTTGTTGTGTTTCTGCTTGCTGGTTCTCCAGACGGAGCAGAGGTGGGGGCTCGTCTCCTAGCTCCATTGCTAGATGCCACAATCTCCCTTTTCAGCTCTGGTTTCATTTTGCAGCTTCTGCTCCTGCCTCCGGCTGATTTGAGATACACGAGTCTGCGCTTTTCTCCAGTCGGTTATTCTGACGGCTCTTCCCTCCCAGTGATATTTAGGACTGGAGCCTATTTCTATTCATGGACTCAGCTCTGTTCCACACTGTTTTCGTTCCTGTACTTTCATAGTAGGTTTAATACATTCAAGGATCCGCACCACACCATGTGACGTTTTATCAGAACTTTCTCGATGATGCTGGTTTATTTTCCTGTACAAGCTTCCAAGCACCCCTCCCTGCTCAAAACCAGTGTTCTGTTAGCATTTGGCAGGGGATGGGGGGTGTGTGGCTTCTCTATGATGTCAGATTTGCGCTTTTCGGTTTCATCGCACCATTGTGGGGAAAAGAAAATCAGAACAAGGGCGGAGACCAGACGGAGATGAAGGCAGGCAGCATCTTGGGAGGACTCTGGCTATTTCCTCAGAACTAAGGAGGACAGGGAGTGAGGGGACTCCCCAGGGTTTGGCATGATTTCCCTCCACTGCGATGGGCCAGTGTTCCGGACGGGTGGTTTGGGGAGGGAAGGGGGGTGCTGATTCCGGATAGTTCCACAGATGCTGGGAACGTCAAGCAGACCAGGAAGGAGATAGAGAATGGCGCGTAGAGGAGCACCGAGAGCTGCGGGAGCACCCTGGAAGTCAGGTGAATTAAATGAAGGGGCTGCAGGAGGGGGAGGCCACGGGGAAGTGGTGGAGGCCTCGGGGCAGGTTGGCAGGCAGAGCCGGGTGATGGCCCTTGATGGCTGCGGAGACCAGCAGCCCCTGAGGCGACAGTGCAGACTTCAGACCGAGGAGCTGGGTCAGTACCTGGGTCAGGAGCTGGGCACAGAGGCCCCTCCAGGGGGCTGATGGCAGAGGTGGGCGTAGGGGGGGGTGGGGGGGTGGTCGGCCAGAGGAGCAGGGGCTCTGGGAGGCAGAGGGAGTGAGAAGAGAGAAGCAGCTGGAATGAATGGAGCCGGGTGCCCTGAGGAAGGGGGCGGTGCTACTCACTGGCCAGGTCCTGAGTTACTCCACTGCGCTCTCCCTTGTCATCTCCTTACTGTTCTCAAACCTTGTTGAATTTTCGTCTACGCAGCCTGCAGGAACCTGGTTCTAGGTCCGGGAGATGTCCCCTGTGGCTGGGTGTGGTCAAGTCTGAGACAGCCTGTGCTTGAAAGGAACGTCTGTTCGCCCCGCTTCTGAGCTGCTCGATGACAAGCGAGGACTACCTCCCGTGGTCCTGTCACACGGAGATTTAGGACTGTATCCCGTGGAATGTTCCAGATCAAGGATTGCATCTGAATTTCTTGTCCTGTCCTTTTACTTGCAATGTTCACGTACCCTGGACTTGAAGTCTTTTAACCAGTGGAGAGGGAGAGGTGAATTAAAAAAAAAAAAAAAAAAAAAATCTTGTGGGGTGCCTGGTGGCTCAGTGGGTTGAGCATCTGACTCTTGGTTTTGGCTCAGGTCATGATCTCAGGGTTGTGGGATCAAGCCCCGTGTGTGTGTGTGGGGGGGGGTCCACAGCAGGGAGTCTACATGAGTTTCTCTCCCTCTGCCCCTCCCCCTTGCATGCTCAATAAATAAATAAATAAATAAATAAAAATTTCTTTAAAACAAAATAAATAAAAACACAATTTTGGGCGCCTGGGTGGTTCAGTGGGTTAAGCCTCTGCCTTCGGCTGAGGTCATGATTTCAGGGTCCTGGGATCGAGCCCCACGTTGGGCTCTCTGCTTGGCAGGGAGCCTGCTTCCTCCTCTCTCTCTGCCTGCCTCTCTGCCTACTTGTGATCTCTGTCAAGTGAATAAATAAAAATCTCAAAAAAAAAAAAAAAAGCAATCTTGTAACTGTCACGATTACTCCATGTCTCTTTGTTTGGATGTGTAATATTCCGAGAGTCTACCCTCTTTGTTTTGCATTCCTTATCCTACGTTTACTAACCTTCCCTTTTTGCATTTATTTATTTATTTTTTGGGGGGGGCCTGTCCTGGGTTCCTCTCTACACCCTACTAGCATTCCCGGAAGTCCTTAAAATAGCCTAAAGGTAATCCCCACCCTCTTGCAAAGGGCAAAGGCCCCAATCCCATTTCAGCATTTACTACTTCAGTTCTCATTTTTTAAAAGCTCCAATCAGGCATTTAAATTCTTTTTACCCAGACATGTGTCATTTCTCCTGGTGGTCTCCCTCTTGGGATAGCTTTCCTGTGTTCTGAAACATACCCAATGAGATCTCCGGGCGGTAAACTTTCCTAGTTTTTGTTCCTATGGGTGTCCTGTCTCTTCATTGTTTTTATTTTTAAAGATTTTGTTTTTTTAAGTAAACTCTACACCCAACGTGGGGCTCGAACATAGGACCCCAAGCTTGAGAGGCCTGTGCTCCACTGACAGAGACAGCCAGGAGCCCTCAGGTAAATGTTTTCAAAATTCTGTATGAATTCCCAGTTGCTGGTTCCTTCTTTTTGGCATTGGACAGGATAGTTCCCTCTACACTTGTCCAGCGTCCCTCGCTGCTGTGTCATTGTCATGTAGCCCCTTTCCTGTGGCTGTTTTGCATTTCTCGCTGCGACATGTTTGGGGCACAGATGCCTTTTTATTCATCCTCTTTCTGATTTACATCTTTTACGTTGGAAAATTCTCAGCACTGCATCTTCTCGTGTTGTCTCCGCTTCCTATCAGAACTCAGTGAGGCCAGGTTATTCTCAACAATTCCAGCCATCATCGCTTCCACTACAGCCACTGCAATCTGGGTCACTTTGCAGCTTTCAACTTCCTGATTCTCTCTCTAGCAGCATATAATTGTATGAGCCTTAACATCCGCAGTGGGTTGAAGGGAGGTCCCCAAAATGGTCTATCCACATCCTCATCTCTGGAACCTGGGCAGGTGACTTGATGAGGAAAAAAGGCTCTCTGCAGTTGTGATTAAGTGTAGGAATGTGGACTGGGATCAGACTGGACTTAGGGCGGGCCCTAAATCAGAAGACAAGAGTCCTTGTAAGAGAGAAGAGCTCTGAGAGAAGGTCATGTGAAGACAGAGAATGGGCACTGGAGCGTCACGGCCAGAAGCTAAGGGACACGTGGGGCCCCTGGATGCTGGAAGAGACGAGGACGTGCTCTCTGCTGGAGATGTCAGAGCATGCCCGGCCCCGCTGACAATGTTAGACTTCTGGTCTCCGGGACTGTGAGAGACCACATTTCTGGTGTTCTAAGACCCCCTCCAACTCCTGGTACTTTGTTAGGACAGAACCAGCAACGCACTATGACACCTGATGTCATCTCCGACGGTCTTTCGTGCTTTTGTTTGTTTGTTTGTTTAATAAAACTTTTATTCTAGGGCAATCGTCAGTGGGCAGAGACGTTGTGAAGGCAGGCCGGGTAGCCATGGCATAGCCCTCGCCCGGTTTCCCTTAATGTCACCGTCTCACACCTCCACTGTGTATCTGTCACAACTAGGACACCGAGGCCAGCTACGAACGAAACGTAGACCTTATTTGATTTCACGAGTTTTTCTGTGGACGTCCTTTTTTGTTTTGGCCCGTCAGCCCATGCCGCATTTAGTCACTGTGTCCTCGTCTCCTCTGATTGGGGAGAGTGCCTCAGCGGCCTTGCTTTCCATGACCTGAGGGTCTGGGGGGGCGATCCTGACCACTCTGGCAGCACGCTCCACACTCTCCTTGCTTCTTACCCCACGTTACACCTGACTGTGCGAACCCTGGCCAGCCTCAGGGAACGGAGTTCTGCAGGTGACCGCTGGGGTTGGGGGGACCACGGCAGTGCATTCCTTGGTCTGCCCTGTCCTTTCTGGGCGGAGCTCACGCTGTCACTCTACTGGACATGCTGGCCAGGTGCCAGTCCCCCCACCCCAGCCCCCACCCCACATTCTGGACGGGCCTTCTCAGGGCAGAGAGATTAGGGAGCCACACCCGGCGGGATTGGTTGGTCTGGACATCTCCACCTGGAGTTCACGGGTCTCCAACAGAGACATCTTTCCAGTGTTCAGTTTGGGACAAGCAGGTGCACCCTTCTCCCACCCGCTGCTTTAGCCGTTGCTCTTTCTGGAAACCTCTGAGGGCTGGTCAGACCCCTTGGTGACACCTCACCAATGTCTTCGTGGAATTCTCAACTCACGCTCACTGGACATCGGACGATCGAACAGCCCCCAGACTAGATGCCTGATGGCCCCTCCCCACTCCCGGCAGGTGCACACAGCCCTCCCCCTTCCCCCCCTCTCAGCCTGGTGCACACAGCCCTACCCCGGCTCAGCCCCAACTTCCATCTCGGGAAATGGCAGCTCGAGCAGGAAGTCATGGATTGTCCTCGTTTCTTTTATTTCTCTTTCACCTGAAACAAGTCTGGTGGGTTCTACAGCAGAGTTGGGATCTGACCACACTCGTCCTGGCTACGGCCCCTGTGCCCTCATGCCCCGATGACAGAGATGGCCTCGTGGTGATCAGTCACGTGGGCTGACAAGGCCCTGCACATCAGCCCCCTGGGGAGACCTCACCTGCTGCCCAGCCCTCTCGTGTCCGTGATCCCTGCTCACTTGTCTGGTCCCTCTCTGGCTTGGGCGCTGGCTTCTTGGCCTTAGCACCCCCCACCTCTAGTGCCATGCTTGGGGGGTGCAAAGTGCTTTCATATATGTGAATTGGCCACAGAGCTCTCCACTCTGGAACCCCCAGTTCTCTCCTCCCCTTCTTATGTATCCCAATAAGATTTTTAAGATCTCTGCTTCTCTCATCCTCCTCATGGCCCATTCTGACCCACCTGCTTCCCTGAAATCCCCTCTCCCAGCTGGTCATTGATGAGCACCCCCAGAAGTCAAATCACAGGGTCGACTGACTCAGTACCTTGCGAGCAGTAAGCAGCCCTCCCACCTTGCTGCGGCTTGCTCCCCGTGTTCCCTCTGGGGTGTCATACTCCCTAGACCCTGCTGGTCACCCAAACCTGCCTCCATTCACTCCTGGGGCCCCCTCTAGGCTGAGAGCATTGGACACTATCTGGCTTTCACCCCGGGGCCGGCGAGTCCTGGGGGTTCTACCTCCGTGATGCTCGATGAGGCCTGTTTCCCCTCCTTCCCTAGGACTCCTGCCTGGGCCGGACTGGGTCTGAGCCCCAAGCCCCCTCTCCTGCCTGACTGACCAGCAGGCTGCCCTGCTGGACCTCAAGGCCAGGGAGTGTCAGCATGGACCGAGCATGGGGTCTCCGGGCCACCATAGCCCCCCTTCCTCCCCACCTCCACTGCCACCTGCTTAGAGGCTCCCCTGTGGCCTGGATCACGGCTGCTCACCCACTGGGCCAGCGACCCAGTCTGGCCCTCATGCTCCTACCACCAACACCCAATTCTCTGCTCCTGTCAACCTGCCCCAGCCCCAGGCTGCTCTACCCACTTCCTGTCTGGCCTGACGGCGTCTAACTCTGTCGCTAAGCTTCCGTGCCTTTATTGCAGTCTCTGTGGGATGTAGGCTCCGGGGGCAGCGTCCATGGTGGCATCATTCACTGCCTCGTCTCCAGGGCAGGCCCCCAGAGCACACGCGGCTGGACAGACGTGGCTAAAGGAATGAACCGGGGCGGCAGCCCCTCCACACTCACTCAGCTTTGCTGGGCTTGGGGCTCTGGGCCTCTGCCGCGTCGTATTCCCGCACGTCCTTCAGTTCACGTACCTGGCCCGTCAGCACCTTGGCAGCAAAGGCCACGATGTACTGGGTGGGGGGAGGGAGCACGGGTGAGAAAAAGGCACTTCCCTCCCTCTGCTACCCTCCCAATGGCCGGCCTTGTGCTTCTGCCACCGGCCCTTTGCACGTGCTGTCCTGAGGGCTGAATATGCCCCTCCCTGGGCGTGCCTGAGAAGGCCCTGCGCCTAGACCACTGCCTGGGGACTGCCTGCTGGGTGGGCAAGGAGCTGCGGGCTGCCGACTCACCAGGAACCAGTAGAGGTTCATGAGAGTGAGCAACAGAAGGAGTGCGTTGAAGAAGAAGTAGAAGGGGATGTCAGGCACCGAGCGCAGGCTGCTGTGGCAGGTGGCGTACAGAACCTTGAGCGGGAACCAGTAGAGGCGGAACCAGAACCTGCAGCGGGGAGGGGGGCTTGGGGAAGCTGTTGGGGGCGGGGTGGCTTGCCCCACCCAGGCCCTATGCTATTCCATCTGGACTCATCCATCTGTCCCTGCATAGCCCCACCCATCCCGGTCCCTCTGTCCCCTCCTTGCCCACCCCTGCCCATCTGTCTCCATCCCAGCTCTGTCCTTTCCTGCCCAACCCTGCTTCTGCCTGGCTTCTGCCCCACCTCTGGCTAGCCTGCCAGGCCCTGCCCACTTCACCAGGCCCCACCCCCTTCCTGCCTGGCCCCACCCATTCCCTCAAGCCCTCCCTCCCTCCCTGAATGCTCCACCCCTTCACACCAGCCCCACCTCCTACCCTGCCCACTTCACCAGGCCCCACCCACTTCCTGCTTGGTCCCACCACTTCTCACCAGCCCACTCACCAGCTGAGGCTGAAGCTGAGGCAGCCCAGATCAGCCGCCAGGGCGTGGAGCCGGTGGTGGGAGCCTCCGCGGGACTTGAAATAGACATTGAGCTTGGTGAATTCCAGCTGCACGTCACTAATGTCATGCAGGAAGAGCACGAGGATGCCCACGTTGTGGTACCTGGGGAGGAGGTGGGATAGGAGAGGAGAGAGGGTAGGTCACACTAGGGACCGTTACCCTGCACCAAGTCTGCACCCCAAGCCTCCTGCAGGGCCCTTCAAAGCTGTGGTTCCTTGCCCACGTGACCTATTTCCCCACAGGGCCAGATCAGGGGCAGCACCCAAGCTGTGCCTGCCCCTTGGTGGCCCCACCCGCACCCTCACCCTCGCTGCCTCACTGTCCCCAGGTGACCCAGGAGCCTCCCTGGAGGCTCCTTGTCTGCCCCATCTCGCCTCTGTGACCCCTGACCCTTGGTGGCCAGGGCCATTTTGCATCCAGATCCTCCGCAAGTTTGTCCCTCATCTCCAACATCATTGCCACACTGACCCTCCTAGGTCTGTTCATTTAACCTGAACATTGCTGCGATCTGCAGACCTGTCTAGGGAAGACCGAGTCCCCAGCAGGCTCTAAAGAAGCCTGAAGGCCGTCCCCCCATCCCACCTCAGCATTCCACCTGACAGCTGCTTGGGCCACTGGACCTGAATTCAGCCTGGACATGGCTGGGCGTCTATCTCACTCCACCCTTCTGACAGCTCATGTGCCACAGACCCTTTGCACATGCTGCTCTCAACACCTAACACGCACCTCCCAGTGTTCATGCAGTCTTTCTTCACCTTTCAGACTTTGCTCACCTGTCACCCAACCACTCACACCTCACCACCCCCAGGTCCTTATCTTCCGACTTTTCTCCATAGTTACCACCTTCAAACAGTAGTTCTTTTCTTGTTTGTTTGTTTGTTTGGGTTTTATCACCTGATTCTACTCTAGAGCAATGCTATCTCATAGAACTTTCTAGAATGATAGGAATGTTCTAAACCTGCATTATCCTGTATGAGAGCCAGCAGCCACATGAGTCCATTGAGCAGCTGCCATGTGGCTAGTGTGGCTACAGAATGGAATATGCAACTTTATTTCAGTTTAATTCCAGCTGACATGGGCACGGGTGGCCAGCAGCTGCCGCACTAGACTCATGGGGCAGCCCATCCAAGAGGGACAGCACATGAACCATGAATGTTATTTCAGATTCCCTATCAGCCACATTTTTTTTTTAAGATTTTATTTATTTATTTGACAGAGATCACAAGTAGACAGAGAGGCAGGCAGAAAGAGAGGGGGAAGCAGGCTCCCCGCTGAATGGAGAGCCTGATGTGGGGCTCGATTCCAGGACCCTGAGACCACTACCCAAGCCGAAAGCAGAGGCTTTAACCCACTGAGCCACCCAGGCGCCCCTATTAGCCACATTTAAAACAAGAGGTAAAGAAGAGGTACAATTAATTCTAACGCTACATTCTAACTAACTCAGTAAGTCTGAAACATTGTCATCTTCACGTGCAACTGATACAACTAAAGGATTGGCAAGAGAGATTCACTCTCCACTGCCTTTGAAACAAAGGGGAGATCTTACAGGTAGGACAGGTTGAGGTGCGGATGGGCTGCGCCGGAGGCCCTCAGGGGCCATGTGTGGTGGCTGCAGTGGGCTCCAGAATGCCAAGGTGGGTCTGCTGCACTCCTAGCCACACCCCCTGCGGCAGCCAGGCACAGCGGGTGGCCCAGGAAACACTTCATTTTTGTTTTTGTTTTAAGATTTTATTTATTCATTTGACAGACAGAAATCACAAGTAGGCAGAGAGGCAGGTAGAAAGAGAAGAGGAAGCAGGCTCCCTGCAGAGCAGAGAGTCCGATTCGGGGCTCGATCCCAGGACCCTGGGATCATGACCTGAGCCAAAAGCAGAGGCTTTAACGCACTGAGCCACCCAGGCGCCCCCCCAGGAAACACTTCTAAGTGTCCCGCCCGAGGCTGCCACAGGTTGGAGGGGCTGGAGGGAGATGGGCAGTGTACGAACGGGCTGGGGTTTCTCTGCACCTGATACCCCACCCCCCCGCACCGTCCCTCTAGCAGTCTCTTTCCAGAACCCAGCCCCGTGGATACCCACTGTGGCCCCCACCAGCCTCCCCTCTCTGCTCATGCTGGGCCCTTTCCCCTCCTGCCCGCTGCCAGACTCACCGGAAGGCATAGGAGGAGACGATGAGGACCAGGGTGACCACGTGGTGGATAAGCATGACCACCGAGTCCTTGCGCCAGGCGTCCATGTACAGTGTGGCATAGATGGAGTGGCCGTAAAAGCTTCCTTGCAGCAGGTAGGCAGCTGCGATGTCCCGGGGCACCGCCACGCCTGGCGTCCAGTCTGGGGAGAGCAGGCGCGTGTGGTTAGGGGCCTCCAGGAACCCCTCCAGCTGGGGTGTGCCACCCCCTTCCGCAGGCGCCCTGGCTACTGCTTTTCTGCTCCCAGTCTCTACCCATGATTTTTTTTTTAAAGATTTTATTTATTTATTTGACAGACAGAGATCACAAGGAGGCAGAGAAGCAGGCAGAGAGAGAGGAGAGAGCAGGCTCCCCACTGAGCAGAGAGCCCGATGTGGGCCTTGATCCCAGGACCCTGGGATCACGACCTGAGCCGAAGGCAGAGGCTTTAACCCACTGAGCCACCCAGGCGCCCCTCTACCCATGATTTTTTTACAAATGGGTGTTCTTTGGGGGGGGAACGGTTCTAGATTTATAGGAAAAGGTGCTCCTACCCCTAAAATCTGTCCTTTGCAGGATTTCCAACTCTGGCTTGGTTACCCCGGCCAGTGCCGTTCGGGATGGGCTGGCCCACCTCGTGGGGTGTGGCTGGCTCCCTGCCCCCGCCGCCGCTCCTGCCCCTGGCTTTTCCTGGTACCTGTGCCCACCTACTCAGGCTTCACCTCCTTCTGGTGACCCTGACTTCCAGCTCTCCCCATTTCCTGTCTCAGGACCATTACCAAGAGGGCTCTGGCTATATCGACCCAGACTTCCCTGGCCACTCCCCAAAAACGGCCACCCTGGGCTCCCTCTGGGGCCTCCCGCCTCCAGCCTGAGAGACCCGGAGCCCCCTGGAGGCTGGCCATCCCCTAAACCACGCGCCCCGCCCACCAGTGCCTTACCTCAGCAACAGTTCTTCATCTGTGCCTTGACCTCATGCCTTGACCCCGTGTGGGTCCAGGCCTCTGCTTGCTTCCCCTGCCCTTGCCACCCTGCCCCTGTTCCCGACACCACTGTCTCCTACTCAGCTCGGCCCCAGCTCCCCCTGCCCTGCCAGCCTTCCAGAGCCTGTCCCCGACTGTCCACCCTCCCCATGGCTGCCATGAACACACGAGCCCCAAGCTCTGGCAAGTCCACTCTTAGCGAGGTGCCCGAGGGAGCTGAAGCCAGGGCTCCTTGCACACATGTGTGCACAGCAGCACTGCTGGACGCCACCAAATGGTGGCAGCAACCCAAGCACCCGCCAATGTGTGAGTGGGTGAGCAGAACGCGGGCCCCCACAAAATGGAAGGCCGTGCAAAGTGGCGAGGCACCGACTCCCACTATGAACCTCAAAAACCAGATGCCAAGTGAGAGAAGCCAGACACAAAAGGTCACATGCTGCCTGATCCCATGTCTAGGAAATGTCCAGAACTGGCAAATCCAGAGACAGAAAGCAGATCCGGCCAGGGGGAGGGAGACAGGGTCTCCTTCTGGGAGGATGGAGGCACAACACGGGGAATGGGCTACATGCCCCTGAACCATCCACTTGAACATGGCGAGTATTTAAAAACTATGATACTCTGACCCCTGGCCATGTTTACATCTGGTGGCACCACTGTGCTTGCCCCGTGGCACGGCGATCTCCAGAACACTCCTCGAGGTGCACACTCGAACCTCTGTGCCCATGAAACACCGGCTACCCGGGCCCTCCCCCGGACCTGTCTCCCAGATCCACGCATCTGGCTACTCCAGGGACCTCAGACAAGCAGGCAGAACCGACAACTGGCAAATTATGGTTGACTTTACGGCATGTATATTTCACCTAATTTTAAAAAATGCAACTCCCCTCCCCCCACCACCCGACCGATGGATTAGCTCTCCTCCCACCACTTTATCAGGTCCAGGGGCTCCTCCAAGTTTGACAACAAAATGCACACTTCCGGGAGGACCCTCCCTCTGAGCTCTGCAGGACTGGCCGCGGCCGGCGGCGGAGACTCCTACACACACACCTGCCGTGCACTTCTGTCCCCCTCGAGAAGGAAGGGACACAGAGGTGCCTCAGCGTACAGAGCCAGCCTGCTATGGAAACAGGACACCGAATTTTCCACCCATCGCAGTGGCAAGACTTTTACCACTGGGCGAGCGCCCCCTTCCAGCCTCGAGCCCCGGATGTGGGGTGGGGTAGGGAGAGTGTGGCCCCCATGGGATCCCCAATCTAGACTCCGTCTGCACCTCCCTGCACTCGTGGGCCACGGAACCCCAGCTTGCCTTCAAAACATTTCTCAAACCAACCACTTCTCTCCCATTCTGGGCCCCATGCTGGGCAGAGCCCCCTTGTGCCCTCAGCATCCTATTCAACTGGGCCTGTCAGTATCTGCCCCCCTCCTCACAGTCCTCCGGGAGACACCCCGTCCTGGGGGGCTGCTCTCTGCCTCTGAGCATCTGCCAGGAGTGGGCCTGTCCCACAGTGGCCTTTGCATTTCCTCTCTGCTTCAGGCCCCTCCAGGTCCCCCACGGAAAGGTCATTTTTGGTGGGGCCATCCCCATCTCTAGAATATTCCCGGGCCTTGCCTGGGATTTTCTCATCAGCTGTTAACAGATTTCGTACTTCACTGTCACCACAAGCCATCAAGGTGGGGGGCTTTCTCTGGAGCACTCAAAGCTGTGTCTGCATAGTGCCTGGTGCACATGCAAAGCAGCAGCTCACCTGCAAGCATGTTATCACAGCATAATTTAAAAGAAAAAGCCAGAGGCAACGCCATGCCTGAAACTGACAAGGACCCACGATGGTTCATTCACACAAAGGGAAATCGAATGACAACTAAAACCTGTCTCCAGGGATTTATAACAAGGGCAATACACGTGGGACAGTGGCCATGTGGGCGATGCAGTCCCACTGAGAGACAGGTGCCCAGCAAATGCGGTGCTTGTCACTGGGATACTGGAACACCAAAGTTGTGTGCCAAGCCCTCAGATGGGGGCGTGGGGCTTGGTGCCACCAGGAGGCTTCAGAAACTGTTTACGTCCCATGGCAGGAAACACATACACGTGGTCAGCATAGGGATAGAGAAATCTGGATGCCCCCATCACAGATCGGGTTTTCTAGAACAGCCTGCCTGCCGGCAATAAAGGACACTGCAGTCACCTTCCTGCCTATCCCACCAAGCTCAGGCCTTGACCACCCCCACATCTAATCCAATCGTTGGATGCGGCCATTTCTCGTCATCTTTATCTCTTCACCAAGCTGGTCCAAGCCACATTAGTCCCTCACCTCCCCACTGGGCCACTTTCTTCCTTATCCAAGACTCTCCTGCCTCCACATGGCAGCCAGGGGAAGCTTTTTATGAGCCACAAACCCATCCCATTTAGAATGAAACTCAAACTCCTCCTATCATCCTCACACACCAAGCTTGTGCTGGACCCAGGGCCTTTGCACACATGGTTCCAGACACCTGGAATGCCTACCTGGGTCCATACAAGGGGTCACCTCATTCAGGACACCTCCCTGAGCCCTAACAGTACCAGGTCCTAAATAGGACCCTTTCCTGTCCCCAGAACCTTTCAGGCACCCTTGTCTTGGAGCTACCTTGCGGCAGGAGGGGGGGCTGTCTTGAGGCAGATATCCAGCATGAGACGTGTGATGAGTGTCCAGCTCCCCCATGTAGAGAACCTTCCCCCACCCTGCTCTGTCCGGCAGGGCCCCTACCGTAGAAGACAGAGGGTGGGTCGTGAAAGAAGGGGTAGTCGGTGCCGAAGAGCAGGTAGGCGCTGTAGCTCCAGGCGCCCAGATAGAAGAGAAACTTCCAGGCGCTCTCAGGCATCTTGGCGGCATCTCTAGGCTGGAGGTGACACCGCTTGGCCAGGGGCTATGGGTGAGAAGGTGGGTGGCCGTCAGTGCTGGGGGCCAAGGGCCAGGGACCACTCCTCCAGGATGGAGAAAGCCAGGTTCAGGGGCTCTCCAGGCTGGGCAGTGTTGGGGAGGGCCAGGCCCCAGTACCCACTGCCACCTGGAGCGTAACCAGAGCCCACGTGTGCCAGCCAGAGGCTAAACTTAGTGCCCAGCTGTCCGACGCAGTGTGGGGAGGGGAGTGGGGGGAGACCTGAGGAAACGTAAGGGAAGGCTGTGGCGGGGAGAAGGGGAACATGTGAGTATGGTGCAAGGAAGACCAATGGGGTCAGCCCAGGGGAGTTGGGGGACCTGGGGTTCCCAGAGGGAGCTGGAGCTACGCCAGGGAGGAGGGGAGATTAAAGAGAAGATATGGAGGGACCTGTAGGGGTGAAGCTGTGAAGAGAGCATGGAGGTGAGTATGGGGGCATCTGGGAGAAAGTGGGGAGGATGGAACCCCAAGGGATTCCCATGGGAGAGAAACCTGAGGGAAGGGGTACCTCGGAGGGAGAATCTGGGGGTAGGCTAGAGAAAAAAAAAGAAGTTGGGGAAGATGGGGTGGGTAGTTGGGGGAGAGCATGAAAATGTGGGGGGACAAAGGAGGAGAGAATGGGGCAGAGAAAGAGAGGGCAGGGCAGGGAAAGGATGTACAATGAGACAGGGGACATGAACTGAGCCACCTAAGGACAACCAGGGAAGCCTGGAAGGAAGCAAGGTCATGCAGCAGTGAGATATGGAGGAGTCTGAGGGGCGCAACTGCCCCCCTCCACCGAGTCCAGGAGCCCCCCCCTCCCCCCACCGTTCCCTGGCGGCGGGGCTCCAGAGCTGCTGGGTCAAGCCCGCCCCCTTCCCCGCCCCCTTCCCTGGAGGAGAGGCTCGAGGGGGCCGGAGCACCAACAGTTGCCATGGAGACAGGCAGAGCCAGTTCCAGTCACCCCTGGCAACCAGGCGGCTGCCAAGAAGATGAGCTTTGGAGGAAAGGGCAGCCCCTCCACCCCTTTCTTGGGAAGGGCGAGCCTCGAACTGCTCTGCCCCACCCGGACTGGCGGGACTGGCCACAGCTGTGGGGATTCCAAAAGGGAGGGTGCACACGCTCTTGCTGTCCCCCACACCCTCCACCAGGCTCCCTCATTGTGAAGCCTCCTCCTCAGGGAAAGAGCCCACTCCACTCTGGTTGTCCCAGAGCGACCACATCCCCTCCTTGAGGCCCTGACCCTCAACCTCCTGGACCTCCCACTTACCAGCTGGAAACTGGGAAAGCAAGGGGACCAACAACGCCAGGTGGGAACGAAGGCTGACCTGTGCAGGGGCCCTCGTGCCTGCCTCCTCCTCCCTGAAGAAGGGTGGTGGCTGGGGTCCCTTCCCCATGCGGGTGATAGGGGATGATGGTGGGGACAGTGGCGGCCGGACAACACCCTATCCTTGACTTAACAAGGGCTAGCCTCTTCCCAGCCAGCAGAGAAAGGCCCCTTTGTTGGCGCCGGGCTCTCTGTCCCCGCAGCCCCTGCCACCTCCAGCCAGATTGGGGCGGGGTGACCCCAGTCAGTCCAGGAGGGAGTCGCAGCCAAGCTAGGGGCCCAAACGCCTTCCCACCAGCTCCCATAGCAGCGACCCCTCCCTAAGGATGGGAGGGAGGCCAGGCGCCAATGTCACCCACAGGGTCACTCTCGAGTTGGGGCCGTAGCCTCCCCAGACTTGCTAGAAACTGGGCAATTAGGACGCAGCCCCTTAAAGGCAGCTCGGTCCAGCTCGGAAGGCCCGGGCCGCACCACCTCCTAAGATTTCGACCACCGGCGTGGCGGGGGAGTCCAGGCCTTTGCCTCACCAGGTCGGAGGGTGGCGCTGACTCCAGACATGCGCGAGACAGCAACCGGGTAGCTCCTGCCTCTTCCCGGGAGCAGCGGACAAGTCCGCTCTGCGGCCGCGTGGACCTCGGGCCCCGCTCCGGTTCCGGGAGCGCCCCGCATGGCCCCAAGGCGCAAGGCGCCGGCGGCTTCTGTGCCCCGAGACCACCCCGCCCCGCGTCCTCCGCTCCTCCGCCCTCGGTTCGGCCCTGCCCGAAAGGGTGCGCGGCGGCCCGGGCCCTCCCACCGGCCGGGGCCCCCTTGTCCCGCACCGCCCGGCGTAAGTCGGCCCCATTCGTGCAGGGGTCCCCACGTTCCGGCCTTCCTCCAGCTCGGCCACACCCCCGCATCCACCCCACCCCCACCGCCCTCAGCCCGAAAGCTCCAGCCCGAGGCCCCCCGCGTTCCAGTGACCCCCCCTGGAGAGGCAGAAAGGGGTCCGCGAGGGCCCGGGGTCCGCGTCCCACGCCCCCCATAACGGCCCGGACCCCGGCGGCACTGACCCGAAAGAGGCGCGCGGTGGCTGCGGAGCGCAGCGCCGTCCAGCCGAGCGCGCCGAGCGCCAGCAGCAGCAGCTCGGGCGGCGCCAGGTGCGCGTGCTCGGCCAGGCCGCGGCGCGCCAGCCCCCAGCCGCAGTCCGCGCAGCCCCGCGCCGCCGCCAGCGCGCTGCCCCAGCTGCGCTGCACCAGCTGCGCGTAGCTCGGCATGGGCTCGGGCCCCGCCGGCCCCGCCGCTGGCCCCGCCGCCGCCATGCCTCCCGCTCGCTGGCTGCCGCCGCCGCCGCTTGCGCCCGCCTGAGGTGGCAGCTGGAGCCGTGCGCCCCGCGTCACGCGCCGCGGCTGGGCCGGGGGCGCGCCGGCCAGAGCTGGGGACGGGGAGGGGCGGGGCCGGCACAAGCTCCGCCCCTCTGGGGGCGCGGGCGGCGGGGACTTGGGGCCTGGGCGCGACGTCCGAGACCCTGAGGGCGCGCCGGCGCTCGGTCTCCTGGAGGCAGCGGCGGCGAGCACGGGCGATTAAGAGCCGGCGCTGTCGCGACGTGTCCTGGAGACGGGCCCGCGCTCCTGCCCATTTTCCAGGAGAAAACCAAGGCGCGGAGCAGCGGGGGAGGGGGTCTGCCAGGTGCCCGCCTGGCCTGGACACCGTGTCCACAGCCCCCGTTCCCGCTCCGTAGCTCCCTTGCCCACCCGGGGCTCCCCCACGCCACCACTCTGGGACACGGTGAGCACCAACAGGCAGTGCCCTCCAGCGGTAACTCCGTCTCTGGCCCTCCAACCTTCCCTGCCCTCAGGGCCACCTGCTGCTCTCGGTGACCCTGAGGACCTGGGAGGCCTCCCTCCCCGGCAGCAGGTTAACACAGGCCTGCGGGAGAGGCAGAGGGAGTGGACACCCACCCGCTGGGACTCAGAGGCTGGATCAAGACCCCTGGCTCCATTGGGACCACCCCTGGTGATACTCTACTATCCAGCGACCAGGCCCTGTGCCTGAAGCCCTCCACGGCCATAACCAAGGACACCAGTCACCTGTTGGGAATATCACCTTCCCTCACAGACAGCCCCCCAGGACTCCCACATTCCTGTGTTCCTCCTCCCCTCCCAACAAGGTCCTCATCCCAAAGCCTTTAAGATGCAGAGTAAAAATCAGTGTGGGCCCCGCAGGAGTCCTGACCTAACCTTCAGGTGCATGGGGGAAAACAGGCAGGAGGACGGAGGAGGCAACATCTCTCCTCCTTCCCCTCAACCTTCATCCAGTCTGGCAACACAGTGTTGGCCCTACTTCGAATGTTCACGAATTCCTCCACTTCTCTGCACCTGCACAGCCTCCTGTGGCTCTGGGCCCCCCAGTGCCTCTTGCCTGGTATCCTGGCTTCCTCCTCAGCCTGGACAGAGGCTGGAAGGAGACTGCTTGCAACCCTTCCGCTGCTCACAGCACCCACGGCTCCCATTGTGCAGAGTAAAAGGCCAACTCCTCACTAACTCATAACCTACTGTGATGCTTTTCTCTCTACCTTGCTCCCCATATGCCACACTGGCCGCCTCACTGTTCCTCTGGCACAGTCCTGCCTCAGGGCCTTTGCACTGGCTGTTCCCTCTGCCTGGAATGCAGTTCCCCCAGGTACGAGCAGGGACCCTCCCTCACTTGCTTCACACTTTACCTACAAATGTCAGCTGCTCAGTGCACCCCTGACCTTCCCATCAGTCTTCTTGGCCGTTGTCACCATCTGCGCATGGTACCTCCCCCTCACTCTTGAACATGCACTCTGTGTGGGCTGGGGTCCATCTGGCCCAACAGACCAAGAAGTGAGAAGCCCAGCAGATTGGGGTATGAGGCCTGCCTGACCTGGTCAAGCATTAAGGCTCAGCCAAGGCCAGAGACCTCACTAAAGCTGCAGCTTGCCCAGCAGGCAGAAGGGGCCTCGGGGATCTTCAACTAGCTAACTATCTGCACCCCCAGAAGTCTGACTGGGCCTGTGGTGCAGACCTGGGCCTTCCAGCTCCCCCACCTCCTCCGCCCTCCCACCCAGCACTATCTGTCCCTATCTGGTCACCATGGTAGCCATCAGTAATTCGAGAGGAGCCCCCGCCCACCAGCCCAGCCCCAGCGCCTTGAGTTTCATCTTGGGGCAGCCAGCTGGGAGGCCACCAGCCCGTGGGTACAGAGCAGAAATGGAATGTGGCTCCCCGTGCTGGCAGCTGGGACCTGACAAGGGGCTAAGGTCCCAAGGCTGGCGCCCCTTCCCTGTTCCACCCGAGGGCAGGCCTCCTCTCTCCGAAGAGCTCATCTCCAGGCCCCCCATCCCCACCCCTGCCGGATGCCTCTGTCACTCTCTCCGCTGAGCCCCTCAACAGGCAGGGAGGGGATGGGGTGGGTCCTGCCCCTGGGAATCCTGAGCTCTGCATCCTGTCCTGGCCACCAAGCACCAGGTCGCAGGCAGCCACCTCTGAAGTGGATGAGGCCAGACTCCTGCAACACAGGTCTTCCCTCCTTCCTGGGAAAGGCCCAAACACTGACCTAGGGTCACAGGGCACAAAGCCCTATCCAGCTCAGCGAACCCAGCACAGCCGCAGGGGCTTTGCACTGTTCATGCTGCCTTGAATGAATGCTGGTCACGCCCATCCCTCGAACCTGGCCTTGCAGATCCTTCTAGTTGTTTGGATGGTGACCTCATCTAAGAGGCCCAGCCAACAGCTCTCCCTTGCTGGCCTACCCTCATCTAAGAGGCCCAGCCAACAGCTCTCCCTTGCTGGCCTACCACCGTCTCTTGACAAGAGACGCCAGCTGGTGCCCTGGCTTTCTCTTTCTCTCTCTCTTTTTTAAGATTTTATTTATTTATTTGACACAGAGCGAGAGATATCACAAGTAGGCAGAGAATCAGACAGAGAGAGAGGGGGAAGCAGGCTCCCTGCTGAGCAGAAAGCCCAATAGGGGGCTCGATCCCGGGACCCTGAGATCATGACCCGAGCTGAAGGCAGAGGCTTAACCCACTGAGCCACCCAGGCGCCCCAACCCTGGCTTTCTCTTATGGAAGGGTGCTTGCCATGGGTTTCTCCAGGTAGACAGCGCAGCACTGTGGCCCTCCTGCGCCCACAGCCCGACAGCAGGTCTCCATCTGGGCCAAGGACCGCCCACAGGGCAGCAGCGAGGAGCAGGGGACAATCTGGAGGGGCGGGGGATGGAGAGAATTTGCACCCAGAGCACATACACTGCGCATGTGACTGAACTGAGGCCTGAGTACTTCCTACCTCCCTGGCCACCTACAGGCCTCCCTGGGATACTGCCTTTGAGCTCTGATGCCCCTGGTGATGGTTGTCACCTCAGTTTCCCTGGGCGCCATGGGGGCTTGGGAGACACGGCTGTGCCACCCAGACCACCATACGGTGGTTGTCTGAGGGGTGGGAGTCTGCACATCTGCTGCTCACAGGCCCTGGTCTCCAGGGGAGCCCCTCCCAGCAAAAGCCCTGGGAGGACAGTGCCCAGAACCCTCCCTTCTGAGCCTTGGTTCCCACATGTCCTTCCCAAAGTGGCCACAGCAGACACAGACCGGGGGGGGGGGGTGTCCCATGGTGGATACATTTATTGACAAGAGGGGGCTGGGCTGGGCTTCCAGCCTCTGCTTCTGGCCAGAACAGGTGAGAGCTTGAGGAGGGGCGCCCAGCAGGGAGGGCGGCACACGTTGCTGTCCCCTGCCTCGGGAACAGTCTCATGCACTGGGAGCGTACTGTAGCACCAGCCGGTCAAAGTCGTTCTCCTTCAACATGATGGGGGAAGGGGGAGAAACAGAGAGAACATGAGTCAGGACCCCAGTCACCTGCCTTCCCTGGCCCTGCCCGGGTGTCTGGGGGACCTGGGACAGACAGTCTGCCTGGGCTCACCTTGGCCTGGTACTCCTTGATGAAAGGGTGGGACCGGTGTGCGTCCTTCAGCTGGGACAGGTAGCGGTTTGTCACCTGCAGGGGACAGGAGGCCAGGTAAGCTGAACGGGGGCTGGGGGGAGCCAGGTGCTGCTCACATACAGGGCAAGGGGAGGGGTGGGAGGGTAGGGGAGCTTCCCAGCTGACCCCAAGCAAGATCTTCCATCTCCCATCACCTCCATCACTCCACCCGGAAATCTGGCTGATGATGGGACCCTCAGGGTTGGGGCAGAAAGAGGAGACAGGTGGCACGGAGCCTCTGCTCAGCACACGGTGGAAGGATGTGCCGCGGGGCTCAGTGAGTGGGGTGGGAGGGACCCAGGCCCAAGGAGGAGGCGGACAGCAGGTCAAGGGGAACAGGGCTGGGAGGGGAGGTAGGTTTATTCAGGGCACACTGTGCAGAGAATCCCCAGAGATCTTGGCGCTGGAACCTGGACCCCAGACAGAGCCCTTGCTGCCAGCCTCTCCCCTCCTCCTCAGGCCCACACTGACTATATGGGGCAGGGGCAGCTGTCTCCCCAAGCCTAAGGGTCCAGTGCCATCTCCGGAGTGAGTGGGAGAGTTGCTCTATCTGCTATACTACGCTAGCCCCGAGGCCACCCGGGGGCCCTGCTACGGGGATGGGTGCCAGACGGCCAGGAAGCCCTGGGGTGGGTCCCTGGCCAAGTGGGCCAGTCAGCCACCTAAACAGCTGGCCCCTAGAGTTCTCCCTCCCTCCGGCCCTCAGACAACACGGGCTCACAGGGATGGCTCCCCTGGGCCCCTCTTCTCTGTTCTTTTGCCCAGCGACCTCCCGGAGGTGGTACAGATTGGGGGCCCGGCTCAGCTGGCCCTGGCTTAGGCACGCTCTGAGACACGGACCACTAGTTCACACAGCCCACGGGAGCAGCCGACCTACAGCCTCAGCACCCGCAACACCAACTTCGTAGCGACCCTCGTGCTGATGGCAACCGCACCTGCCCCACCCCGCCCCGCCAAAGAAGTGGCTTTCTGCCGGAGACCCTGAGCTTCGTCCAGGGCTAGGGCCACACCGCAGAGACCTGCCCACTGCAAGCTGCTGCCGTGGAGGCCAGAAAACCTCCCTGAGCCAGGGGGCCCTACCTCGGGGGGCTTGCCCAGGTGCTGCGACAGGACGACGAGGTTGATCAGTGTCTCTGGGTGGCCACTGTCCTGGAAACACAGGAGACGCCAGGTGAGCGGGGTCAGCTCCCCCAGGCCCCCAACTCGGCCTGTCCACCCCCATCTCTGGTGGGAAACCAGCTCCTGTTGACCCAGGGTAAAGACAGGACCCACGCAAGGTCACACCCTCAGAGCTGGGGCAGGGGGCAGGGCCGGGGGACCCAAAGCATGTCCACTGGCCACTTCGCAA